CGAGTCCCAACTACTCGCCCTCCAGTCCCACGTATGTGCCTAACAGTAGCGGACAGTACTCACCGGCCAGTCCTTCCTATTCGCCGACCAGTCCTATGGATGACGACTGAATGGACGGACAGACAGAGACGTACGGACGCACCGGTTGAACACAGAATTGTTTTTTAATTTTATATTTTAGTCAGAATTTTGAATTTAAACTTTTTATTTAACACTTATATATCGATATATATGGGGTTTTTATATATGATATTATTTATAATTTATATATCATATATTTTAAATTTTGTTTTAATTAAATAATTAATGAATAATTAATTAATTAACTAAATAAATAAAAAATTTGCGAAACAACCAGTATATTAATCTATTAAATAATTTATTTTACCGCTAATTTTGTATTCACTTAATATTGTGTTTCGAGACTGACCATGGTCAGTTATTTCTCTAAACACATTAAATGAAAAATTAAACAAATTTTGTGACCCATAGACGCCAGCGTTAAATAATAAAATGAAATGTTTGAGAGACATATACTTCAGATAGGTTAGCAGGGTAGTTTAACAGAATATTCTGGTACTGTGTGCCAAATGATGAGTTCAAATAGTTTTGTTTGAATATAAAATCCATTTATTAATCAATAAATAAATACAAACATTCAATAAATTACTAAAACTATTCATTAAAATAAATAAATTGTTTGACAGAAAAAACAATTAGTAATAAAAGTAAAAGTGAGACAAATAAACATAAATTTGTTAAATAATTACAATAAAAACATTTAGTTTTAATTCATTTTCCGATCAAATTTAAGTAACTTTTTTAGACTCAAAGTCAACACATTTGTCGACTTATTATCAGAGCTTTTATTGCGAGAAACCATTGATTTCTTACTACTATTTGTGTTATTATTATTCACTTTAATCTCATTATTAGGACTACTATTGAGTGGCAAATGATTTGTTTTCAACACATTTGTCGATAGCGTTGAGTTGGACGACACGCCCGACGTCGACGAGTGACAGGAACTACACCTCCCGTTAGAGTCCAGCGTCGAGTCTAACGGCCGGTGACCCCCGTTGGACAGCCTATTGAGTGACGTATTGACTGTCAGAGCGGGCGTTGACTGAGATTTCACTATTAAGGCCTCATTGGAGAGGTCGGCGCCGAAAGGGCCGCACTTTATCAGAGAGTCGGCGCCGGTGCCCGAGACTACCAGCGCTTTGCCGTCCAAACTCTGCGATAAGGCATTCAAACCATTGATTGCTTGCGTTTTTCGCTTTTTCTTTCGGATCTGTAAAACAAATCACAAAAATTTGTGTTAAAAATACAAAATTCTCGCGAAAACTGTTTCGCAATATTTGTCTCACTTTTCGCTGACTATTCGCCACTTTATTAGACATCACTTCTTGTGACTTATTATCGTCTGAAACAATACCACAGAAAACGAGACATTAATACCAGAAAAACAATTCATTCAAAACTCATATTTATAGCAAACCTTCAAATTTGAGTGTTTTTGGCGGCAAATGACTGGGAATGCCGTAAGGGTGGGACCGCTTATTAGGCGATACCAGAGCTGCCGGTGCGCCGTCATTCACTGACAATGGGTTTGTTTGGGCGAAATGCAGTCGTTGTGACAATCGGTGGCCAAATATGACCAGAAATACGATCACAACAATCACTTCGATCATCATAAGCGCGATATGCACTTCAATGTAGTGCCAGT